CCCGCCCCAGGACGCTCAGGTTAGCAGACGCTTTACGCTGATGCTTGCCGCACCCTGTGGCCGAGTAGGGTTGCCTCTGTTGTTCTATAGCTTCCCCTCGCCCCGTCTGCAAGAGGCTCCTTCCCAAGTAGTTGCCTTCTTACCGTTGCTGTGGCAGAATTGGAACATCAGTTTGATTTTCCTTATACTGTAATCAAATATAAAACGCCAAACACGTCCAACTACTGTAACACTTTTACCTTGGACTTTGATAGGCTTTGCTCTCTGTACACGATACTGTGGCTCTGAAGAACTATGATCCCGTGTTGCCTCCTATGCCTGATGATATTGGTGATGAGGAAGACTCGGTGAAAATCATCCGTCTGGTCAAAAACAGAGAACCGCTGGTGAGTTCTGGTCTGCATTTTATGCTCAGCTATGAGTAGATATCATGATAAAGCCACATCTGATGGGCACAAACCATTGATTCCTCTCTTTAAAATGTACTTCCTCTGTGTCCTCAACTTTGAAATAAATGGAGCATTCACACCTAAAGCATAGGATTTAGAAAAATTAAAATGGAGCCAGCTAAAGTGGCAGGCATTCTTTTGGTTACAAATAGCAAATAGTTTTTAAAATGTGACTTGTTGACATTTACGAAAGACAGCATAACGTGCACCAGTTACAGCTGATTTGAGATTTAAAAGTGCAACTAAAAATAAATGGCTTATGGCTTTTCTAGAAAGCTGATTGATTTTAAAGTGACGAGGAGAAATTAATCAGGTATCCGATATTTCAAAATGTAGATGTAACCATTTGTTTTAGCCCCAGAATTTATACAGTGCTGAATCATGTCAAGGCCTGGGGTAGGCCGACTAATGCCTCACACCAGCCCGCAGTGATGTCGTGTCCTAATCTTCAGAACCTGTGGATATGTTACCTTAAAAGACACAGGGAGCTTTTCATGATTAGTTAAGGATCTTGAGACGGCAAGAGTCTCTTGGATCATCAGGTGGCACCAAAGTAGTCACGAGGGTTCTCATTAATGGGAAAGAGGGAAGCAGGGGGGTCAGAGGTACGGAAAGAGATGTGGTGGTGAAAGCAAGGGTGGGAGTGATGTGACCGAGAGCCAAGGGACGCCAGAAGTGTCTAGAAACTGGGACAGGCAAGGATCAGATTCTTTCCTAGATCCTCCAGGACGAATGCAGCCCTGCTGGCACCTTGATTTGGGCCTGTAATACCCATTTTTGCCTTCCTGTCGACACCTCCAGACCTGTAAGATAATAAATTTGTGTTCTAGTAAGCCACTAAATTTGTGGACAGTTGTTAACAGCAGCAATAGGAAATGAGTACAGAGTGTATCCGTATGAAACTGTATTCAAAAGGAAAATAAATGTCACAACCTAGCAGTTGACTTTAAATGTGTTGTGGCCCATTTACTCTAATTAAAACATTTTTGTGTTCTTAAAGCAAATGGCAGTTGATCATACAATAGTTGCTGGGCACTGTGTTATATACTTTACATACTGATTATATTTAATCTTCACAGTTGGTACCGTTTTTCGGTTCTTACAGACTAAGAAACAGATATTCAAAGGACTAAAGCAACTTAACCCAAAGTAGCACAGCTATTGAGATCTAATCTTGACTCTCTTTCTTCAAACACTAGTTTTTTATTCTATACCACATTCTGTGTTTATACTTTTGGGTAGTTTTTATCTTCTTTTGTTTAAAGGCAACTGTGGTATGTTAATAAATACATTGGACACTCTATCCCAGAACAATATACAGATAACTTTGCTTATTACAGAAGGATAATTGAGCCCCCGAAGCTCATCTGTGGGTGTTCTAAGGCTCCCTGTAGCCCTGGTTAAGGTTGTTTGGTTTAGATTATACACTAATGCTTTTCGCCTATGGTTATAACTCTCTGCTGGTAACCTTAGTATGTCTTGGTCTTTATCACGCAGGTGATGCAGGTAAGGGTAGATGGTACGCAGACTAGATGGAGAAAGAGCTCTCTTGGGATCTGTCACCATAAAGTGACTAATCCTTGGTGGGTTCTGTGTATCTACCAATAAGAAGTATGTTTCTGTTTTGACAAATTCACTCTCTTAGAGAGAGAATTCAAAGAGTGGCCATCTTGAGGAGATCAGTAATTCGTTACTAACAATTTCTTTGATCAGTCATAGTTTTCCAGAGGTGGTGGTTTTTGGTGTGTTGCTTTGGTGAGCTGACATTTAAACAGTCACCAGCAACATTTAAGTTCCATGCTTCCTGATAAAAGATCTTCAAACGTTAATCAGAGAAATGAGGCATGTACTGCATGGGCATTTCTCAAAAGTTTTAACTGGACCCGCTGTAAATTAGTTTCAATTTAAAAGAAATTGAATGAAGTATATAAAATAATGTAAAGTTGTGTTTTCACAGTCTGTTACTGAATAAATCACACCCTTTAGCTCATAACAAGCATGTAACAACTGAAATAATTAGACCTAACTTTGAGATGATAATTCTTTGTCATTAGCTCTCTTTTGTTATAGTTTATATAATACATTAAATTCATAGTTTAAAAATGAGAAACTGGGGAACTTCCCTGGTGGTGCAGTGGTTAAGAATCCGCCTGCCAATGCAGGGGACACGGGTTCGAGCCCTGGTCCGGGAAGATCCCACATGCCACAGAGCAACTAAGTCCGTGCACCACAACTACTGAGCCTGCGCTCTGGAGCCCGTGAGCCACGACTACTGAAGCCCACGAGCCTAGAGCCCATGCTCGGCAACAAGAGAAGCCACCGCAATGAGAAGCTTCCACGTGGCAACGAAGACCCAACACAGCCATAAACAAACAAACAAACAAATAAATAAATTTATTTTTTAAAAAAAGTAAATTAGCCAAAGGTTTTTTTTGGCCAACATATGCAGTTAAGTTCTTTAAACTCTAGGTTTCGTTTTCTGTATTTAATGCAATTTAAAGTAATTTTGAGTACTTTAAAAAATTATTTTAGTCACTGGCTCTTCGCATCCCTGGTGAGCCACAATTTGATTGCATGATTTTTGTTCAAGGGGATGTATTAAAAATAAATAAGAACTTCATGTAGGAAACAGAACCTCTAACTGGGATGAAGAAATTCCCAAAATTATTTGTTGGGACTCCTGACAAAAGGATTAAGATTTTAAATATTGTTTTAACACTGGAACATGGAATCAAGTGAGAATTACTTGTCTTGAACTTTTCTTCATCCAAATGCGTAATTACTGTATTTTCTTTAGTTTGACAATTATTGTGAAAGTGCAGAAAGATTACTGGGTGAATAAATTTATAGTTTAAAAAATGCACGACCCAGAAAAATGGAAAGTATTTATTTTTAACAAACTCGTCATTTTATATTTGTCAGTTGTCTCCTGTCATTTTGGGGAGGTCACTGGAAAAGCCACAGCTGCCGAAGGGGGTCCAGGGGAAGCAAAGACCAAGAGAAAATATAGAGTCTGAGGCATCTTTGGGAGAATGGGTCTGAGTAGGAAGACTCAGAAATCGTCAAGGTGAGGGAAGCCAGAGGCTGAAATGAAGTTCTAGCACGTGGATGGATGGTCAGGAGCTGTTTGGCAAATGATTCAGAATGTAATTTTGTTGTTAGACCGAGGTACAATGTGCCGAAATAAGCACCGAACTTGCATTAGGTGACCTCAGTGGGAGGTTTGCTCTGTATCCTTATAGCAGCAAGTCATTTATTGCAGCCTCAGGCTCCTGATCAGAAAATCAGGAGATAAGCCTCTTTTGTGAGTGTTCGGAATATCAACTGGCATCTCATGTGTTCGAAATGCTGTGTTAAGTTCTTTGCATTATGCCAGCATCAAATGAACGTGACATAGAATGATCAGGTAGAAGCTAGTTGACAACTAGATTTACAGAGAGAATGGTTTCCTGGGGGAGAGGCCGTGAACACAGATCATGTAGGTATTTGGGAATGGAAAGGGGAAGGGGTGATAGTTTGAGGGGAGGGATGGATGGGAGAATTGCGAGAAGGGGGGAAGGAAACTGGTCAGGTTGCAAGGAACAGGGCCATTCTCCCTCCCTGCGAGTCTGGAGCAATTTATACCTATTTTATCCAGAAGATTAATTTTTAGACCGGCTGAAGAAAATGAAATTCTCTTAGTGAATGTGTGGATTATGAGCCTTAATTTTCAGTGTTTCTTGCATGGATTTTCCTTTTACTTCTTTTAGAACAGGGGTTCTCAGACTCTGGTATTACTAGGGTTACCTGAGACGCCTACTTCAGATGCAGTCTGTAGGGCCTCTGCCCCCAGGAGTCCACGTCATTAGCTTGAGGTCGGGCCTGGGAATCAAATAGATTGTAAAACGTGTCGCAGGCCTTCTTGACGCCAGCGTTTGGACAGCCGTACATGAAAGCCCTTGTTTCGGAAGTCCGACCTGAAATTGACTGTGCCACCTCTTTAAGGAGATCGTAGGGCGTTGGCAGCGGTCTCCGAGGGACAGTTTTTACTTGCGTCTTAGTGCTCCTTGTTTCTAAACCATTTTACAGAAGTAACAAGAAAAGTCTAACCGGAATGTTAACTTCTCAATCTAGCCTAAAGCTGTCTACACTCTGTCTGTCATCAAAATCACATAGAATAAATTAAAAATAATTATGGACGAAAATATGTAAGTATTAAAGCATTAGATTCCATTTTAATTTATATTTCATCTCAGACTGTACCGTCAGAATGTCGACTTTTGTGTAGTATCACATGAAACGTGCTCTATGTTACTGGGTTTTGATCTTATTCATAGTACATTGCCCTAGGAATACATGAAGGAATTGTGATGATAAGGGTTTGGAAAGCAATATGGAAATAGAAAGTGTTCAAGAATGTAGGGATCAGGGCTTCCCTGGTGGCGCAGTGGTTGAGAGTCCGCCTGCCGATGCAGGGGACGCGGGAGATTGAAAAGTCTTAGGGTTATCAAATAGTTTCATGATACCATTCATTTGGAGGTTATGGGAAATTGGAGAATTTTGATAATTACAGTGAGAATTTGTCAAGCCAAGGTTATTTTTTGATGCGAAAGAGAAAGACTTTCTGTTCCCTATTCAGATCTAGCAGAAGTGGAGAGAAAGGAGGATGGTGTTGGAAGATATTGGAGAATGAAAATAGAGAAAGACAGCGAGATTTTCCTTAAAAGCCACTCTCTGTGATCCCAAATCAACGAGGCCAGAAAATCTGTCTATTCTAATTGTCATCATTATTCCACAAAATATCATTCTAAAAGTAAATCTGAGAAAACATAGAATAAAGTCAGAACAAAAATGTATGACTACAAAACGCTTGTCAACTGAAAAAAAATGCCTAACCTAAAAGTTGAGAATTATGTATTTGGTGGCTTTACAGAGGACTATAGCTAAGAAGGCAGCCTCTCTGATAGTTCTGAGGAAATGTCCCCAAGCAGTAAGGGAGAAGTTGGGATATACAGGAGTTTTGCTAAAAAAAAAAAAAAAAAAAAAAAAGAATGTAGGGATCAAAAATAAGATTGAGTCGAGTGCTGGTATCCTGTGGAAAGTGGGAGACCGTTTGTCGGTCCGCAGTTTACCCGGCATGGGGGGCGGGGGGGTGGGTAGAATCAGCAGGGAGCGAGCATGTCTGCTTCAAGGTCCTGTCTATAGCCACAGGCAAGTAATTGCAGGGCCTATAACAAGTCCTGTAAGTGTGGGAGTGCTTTTCTCCCTCTGCACGTCCTGGAAGTGATTTCTTTCAGCCCCTGGCTTTAAAGACCATTTGTGTGCCAGGGACCCCCAGGCCCCTTTCCCTTCCAGACCTTTCGTCTGATCTTTAAATTTGCATGTCCGTCCGTCTGCCCAGTGTCTCCATTTGGACGTAGCAGGCGTCTCAGTCTTCACGTGTTGGCAAGTAGACTGCTTGTCCGCAGTCTGTTCCAGCCCTGTGGTTCCCCCTCTCAATTGATGGACAGTCCCATCTCTCCAGTTATTCAGCCAAGAGCCATAGAGTCTACCTTTGATACCTCTCTTTCTTTCACATCCCATTTCCAATCCACTGGGAAGTCCTTTCAGCCCTACCAATATGTTCCAACACATCTGGACCACTTTTCATCACTGCTCTTCCTGCCAGTCAGATCCGGGCCTCCATCATCTTTGCCCTCGGTTGTTGTGACAGCCTCCTCCTTGTTTGCTTTTTTTTTTTTTTTTTTTTTTTTTTTTTGGTGCGGGGGCCAGGCTCAGCGGCCATGGCTCACGGGCCCAGCCGCTCCGCGGCATGTGGGATCCTCCCGGACCGGGGCACGAACCCGTGTCCCCTGCATGGGCAGGCGGACCCTCAACCACTGCGACCCCAGGGAAGCCCTCCTTCAGTCTCTCCTTAACGGCAGGTGGAGGGGTCCTTCGGATCATGTCACTGCCACTGTCCAGGTTCTCCCTGTTTGTTTCACAGCTCAGTCCAGAGTCCTCCCGGGGACCTACAGAGCGCTGCACACTCCGACGCCCTGCCCCTTCTGACCCACCTGCTGCTGCTTCTCCCCTTTTACGTTGGCCCAGACACAGTGGCTTCATGCTTCTCTGATGGTTCCATTTTTCCCTGTTCTTTCGCTTTGGGAAACTCCTTCATCTCCTTCCGGCCTTTTCGTTGACAGCGGCGTCTTTACATACTGTCTTCCCTCTCCCTGCCCTACCCCATCCATAGTGTTTGCCAGCTTCTAACGTGCTGTAGGATAGATCTAATTGTTTCATCTTCTGTCTGTGGTCTGTCTCCCCTGTGAGAATGTAAGCTCCATGAGGGGGAAGAAACATCTGGGTTTCTTTTTTTTTCAGCAATGTGTCGGAAACCCTTAGACCAGAAGCTGGCACATAGTATGTTCTCATTAAACATTTATCAACTTCATTGAGCACAGCAGACTGGATGGTTCCATACTGAAAAACTGTAATCCATAGTGGAGCAAGAGATTTGTTGCAGTTACCTAATTTTGTGTTACAAACCACCACCCAAGTTTGTAGCTAAAACAATAATATTATCTTTCACAGTTTTGGAGGTTGACAGGCTCAGTTGGGCAGTTCTTCCTTAGAGTCCCTCCTGTGTAGTTAGACAGGGGCTGAGACTGGAGTCACCTGAGGATTACTTCATCCCCAGGACTGGTGCCTGGGCTGGGTGGCTGGAAAGCTGGGGGCTGGTCAGGCATCTCTTTTAGCAAGTGGCATCTCCACCTGGCTGGCTTGGGCCTCCTCACAGCATGGCCGTACACGTGATTTCTTACATGGTGGCTGACTTCCCACAGAGCCAGCATTTCAAGAGTTCCAGAAGGTTAGCTGCAAGTCTTCTCACAGCCTTAGGTGCCCCAGAACCATTTCACCGCTTGACGTGGGGATACAGCAGGCACACACCAAGAGGGGAGAATTGATGCTCTGCATCTGCAAAAGTAGTGGTTAAGAAAGCAATTCTCATCAGTTTGCCTTAGACAGGTTCTGACTTTACTGCATACTAGTTGTCTGATCTCAGGCAAATTATAACCATTTGGCATTCAATTTCTCATCTATAAAATACAGATAAGTAATCTTAAATTAGATAACTAGACCCTTATGACATTAAGCATACTTTGGTGGGAGAATTTGAGACACATTGTTAAAGAAAGTGAAAGTTGATCTAATTACACTAATTAGTTATATTAAGGATGTTACATTTCCAGTCATCTTGGCTACAGGTTATCTGTTTAAAAGCAGAAAATACCAGTAATTGAAGAGTCTAAGGTTTATGACCATGGAGAGATACTCATTCAAGTCTTCGGCCTTGAATGCATGCATAGGTGAGGAAAAATGCCACAAAATCATCCTAACAATTATTTAATTTTTTTTACTGTTATTAGATATGTATTTGATAGCTGTCGTATACAAAATAAAACATCATATAGAAAGCACTTACTACAAATGGATTCCTAATTTTGTTTCCATATCTGTTTGGTAATGCTGTACATGTGTTTATTGGCGAACGCGAGAAGAATTCCACCTTCTTGGGGGTGCGCCCTGCCTCCACCTAACATGCACCTCTTCAGCGCATGGTGTGATGTTGGTGGCCCGTCTAAACCACTGCCAGTTTCTCGGAAGCAAAGTCATGAAAAGGCGTTCAAAGTAACCGTGTGTACCTGATGTTCTGACGAACAGCATGCAGTTAATTTGCTTCTGAACATACATAAGTAAAGAATTTCTGGGTTCTTTTTGAAACTGTTTCCTAATCTCATGCCAAAATGTTAGTTCTGTTTATACCTAGGTGCAGTCCTAGTACATAAAAAGCTCGGAGTAACAGATATTTTTTTCCCCCCCAGTTTCTTTATTATCATTGCTGAGTTCCTTTACTGTAATGTAATAGTGTAACAGAAGGATCACTGAACTAAAGGTCAGGTGATCTGGGTTTTAGTTTTCTAGTTTATATAATCTTTTTTCTATTCACTTCACCTCTGTTTAGTCTACCTTCTCATAGGGTATTGTAAAGATAAAGCGAAATGAGGAAACGCTGTAAAAGGGTAAAATCATAGTATTCAAATACAAGGTATTATAATGGAAAGAAGATATTTGTACACTTTGCATAGTACTGAAGGGATTAAAGGTTTCAAAAGTCTGTGCTGAAAACCTTAGACGATCTGTGTGGTAGAAAGTTGTGTGTCTAGTGATAAGTATTTGTGAGCAAATGGCACGACGTCTGTTCCCCCTTCCTTTCCTTTTAGTAGCGTTTTTACTTTTTCCAGATGAATGTCCTTATTTCTGTCCTTATTTATTTCCTACCACCCAGTACACACATTGACCCACAAAAACTTTTTTTTTTCCTTAAAAGGGAGCTACCATTAAGAAAGATGAGCCCACCGGGGCCGTCGTTGTGGCCAGAATCATGAGAGGAGGAGCTGCAGACAGAAGTGGTGAGAGTTTGAACGTTAGGCGGGCGTGGACGGGGCGCGTGGATTTTATGTGTCACATTTCTGGGATGTAACTAAGAGGATAACAGTCTTTTGATACAACACAGCAAAACAGTAATAAGATATTGTACTCTGTGTTAAAATGTGGGAACCTATTTAAATGGTAAATTTCATTCTAGAATACTTTACGGTCTTAGCTTATATAGGCTTCCAAGGTTATATTAAGACTTAGTTCAATGTTTCTGATTTGAAAAGTACTACTGAAAGCACACAGCCTTTTAAAAAAATTATCTTTAAGATGAAAGTAATGTGCATCTCTAGAAAAAGACTGAGATGCTTCTGCTGTTCCTTTGGCAGCGTTGTGATGTTATGGCCTTGGCAAGGCTGGAGCCTCAGCCTCTGAAACCTCAGAGGCCTGAGATGTGTGTCCTTGTGTGCACTGAGGGCACCACCACACGGTGCTTTCAGGATGGGCACACTGCAAACCACGGTTCCTTTTGTATGCAACACTGCTTACTTTCTGAATTTGCGATTTCTCAGGTCTTATTCACGTTGGCGATGAACTTAGGGAAGTGAATGGGATACCTGTGGAGGATAAAAGCCCTGAGGAAATCATTCAGATCTTGGTAAGCTGAAAATTTACTTAAAAACTGCAGTGAAAATGAGGTTGAATCACTGTATTTCAGACCTGGTTGTGAACACAGGATTTGGATTTAATAGTCCAGGGTTTGGATCCCAGCACTGTTACTTAATCCCCCTTATGTCCTTGGAAAATACTGTAATCTTTTTATTTCCTCCCTGTTTTCATCTACAGGATGAGAATAAGAAGTGGTAACTCTCTCACTGGAGTGTGTGGAGCGTTAAATGAGCTAATGTAGATCAAGAGTTTGACAGGGCCCATCTCAGATTAGGTCCTTAATACATGGCACGTACTCTGTTGTTGAGGATGCATTTATCTCTGTCTCTAGGGGCTATGCTTTCCGGGTATATAAAAAAGTGAAACTAACTTAGATGCCTTATGAAATCTAAAAGGAAATGAAATTATTATAAGCCTTGGCAATATAAATTCTCAAGTTCATTTGTAAGGATGGAATAAAGGGAGACTGTCCCTGTTACATATGAAGACATATTAACCTATAGAGAGTTTAGTATCTCAAAATAGACCTCAGTACATATGAAAATTTAGTGTATGATTAAGATGGCATTTTAAATCAGTGTGAAGGCAGTGAGATCATTTCATAAATGGTATTGGATTAATCGATGATTCAGTTAGAAAAATATAGTCCTTATTTTACAACTCACACAAAAATAAATCCCCTCAAATCAAGTAAGTTTTTAAAAAAGTCATAAAAAGTAGAGAAAGGTTTCTTTAACCTTGATGTGAAATTCAAATAGAAAAATAACTGACGTGATGACTGGAATTGAAAACTTTCTCTACGGTAAAAGATGCTGTACATAAAATTTAAAAGACAAATGAGATCGTAGGCAAAATATTTTCAATTTATATGGTAGAAGGCTCATATTTTAATGGATATAGAGAGTTCTTAAAAATCATTAAGAAAGAAACGGTTACAGAAAAATCAGCAAAGTGTATGTACAGAGAATTACAAAAGAAGACATGATGTCTGAAACATATTGGATTGGTGGTTATTTAAAAGCTTGGTAATGCCCAGAGTTAGCCAGATTATAAGGAAATAGATAATGTTTATATGCTTTTCTTGGTAGGGTAAACTAGAACCTTTTGAGATGGCTATCTGAAACTACCCATTTTAAATTTGCGTACCCCTTAATCAAGAAATTCAACTGTTGCAAATTAACCCAAAGGAAATAATTTCAAATGTGTATAAACAAGATATTTTTAAAATATTTAGAAACTATCAAGAAGGTTGAATTGATTATTCATTCATGTGATGGGTTACGGTGAAGCGTTCACAATGGCTGATAGACTTATATGACTTAGTATAATAGTCATACTAGTAATTGCTTACATGGATTGAGCCCTTAATGATACTGTTCTAAGGGCTTTACATACATTAAAACAGCGGTCCCCAGCCTTTTCGGCACCAGGGTCTGGTGTCGTGGAAGACAGTTTTTCCATGGACCGCAGAGGGGTGGGGGGAAGGTTTCGGGATGATTCAAGCGCATTACACTTATCGTGCACTTTATTTCTGCTCTTATTACATTGTGATATATAATGAAATAATTATACAAGTCTCCATAATGCAGAGTCAGCGGGAGCTTGTTTTCACTTGCCACTCTCTGATGGGGTTTTGTTATGAGTCTGCAAGCGATTGACTTACGATGGTCTCCGTGCAGTCAGACCTCTCTGCTAATGATGACCTGTATGTGCAGCCGCTCCCCAGCGGTAGCATGACCGCCTCAGCTCCACCTCAGATCATCAGGCATTAGATTCTCATAAGGAGCCCGCAGCCTAGATCCCTCACGTGTGCGGTTCACGGTAGGGTTCGCGCTCCTGTGAGCATCTAACGCCGCCGCTGATCTCACAGGAGGCGGAGCTCAGGTGGCAGCGCGAGCGACGGGGAGCGGCTGTGGATACAGATGAAGCTTCGCTCGCTCGCCCGCCGCTCGCCTCCTGCTGTGCGGCCCGGTTCCTAACAGGCCGCGGACTGTTACCGGTCCATGGCCCGGGGGTCGGGGACGGTGGTTATTTAAAAGCTTGGTAATGCCCAGAGTTAGCCAGATTATAAGGAAATAGATAATGTTTATATGCTTTTCTTGGTAGGGTAAACTAGAACCTTTTGAGATGGCTATCTGAAACTACCCATTTTAAATTTGCGTACCCCTTAATCAAGAAATTCAACTGTTGCAAATTAACCCAAAGGAAATAATTTCAAATGTGTATAAACAAGATATTTTTAAAATATTTAGAAACTATCAAGAAGGTTGAATTGATTATTCATTCATGTGATGGGTTACGGTGAAGCGTTCACAATGGCTGATAGACTTATATGACTTAGTATAATAGTCATACTAGTAATTGCTTACATGGATTGAGCCCTTAATGATACTGTTCTAAGGGCTTTACATACATTAAAACAGCGGTCCCCAGCCTTTTCGGCACCAGGGTCTGGTGTCGTGGAAGACAGTTTTTCCATGGACCGCAGAGGGGTGGGGGGAAGGTTTCGGGATGATTCAAGCGCATTACACTTATCGTGCACTTTATTTCTGCTCTTATTACATTGTGATATATAATGAAATAATTATACAAGTCTCCATAATGCAGAGTCAGCGGGAGCTTGTTTTCACTTGCCACTCTCTGATGGGGTTTTGTTATGAGTCTGCAAGCGATTGACTTACGATGGTCTCCGTGCAGTCAGACCTCTCTGCTAATGATGACCTGTATGTGCAGCCGCTCCCCAGCGGTAGCATGACCGCCTCAGCTCCACCTCAGATCATCAGGCATTAGATTCTCATAAGGAGCCCGCAGCCTAGATCCCTCACGTGTGCGGTTCACGGTAGGGTTCGCGCTCCTGTGAGCATCTAACGCCGCCGCTGATCTCACAGGAGGCGGAGCTCAGGTGGCAGCGCGAGCGACGGGGAGCGGCTGTGGATACAGATGAAGCTTCGCTCGCTCGCCCGCCGCTCGCCTCCTGCTGTGCGGCCCGGTTCCTAACAGGCCGCGGACTGTTACCGGTCCATGGCCCGGGGGTCGGGGACACCTGCGTTAAAACACACACACACAAACTAGAAGAAGGGGAAGGGAGTATAGGGAAGACTTGCTTTCTTTCTACTTATGCAATTTAGTATTATATAAATTCTTAATAAGGTTAGTGAGTTACTTTTGTGATCACCTGCGTTAAAACACACACACACAAACTAGAAGAAGGGGAAGGGAGTATAGGGAAGACTTGCTTTCTTTCTACTTATGCAATTTAGTATTATATAAATTCTTAATAAGGTTAGTGAGTTACTTTTGTGATAAGCAATAACAGTGATATTACCATTTTGAAATCACTCCTTTATACAATTCTGATATTTATACTATTAAACCCCCATTTTATGTGAGTCTCTTTGCTGCCCTGGAGCTGCTTCCATATGCTGACAAAAGCTGATTCAGTGCAACTTTTCCCATCCTGGCTTTCAGTGACTTCATGCTGATAAATTGAAACTGGCTGTGATGGGAGTAGTCACACCATGGAAACTGGCAAACAATATCAATCAGGGCCTTTTTAACAAGATGGAGTCCTGGCCACCAGCACACACTGATAGTGAGAGCCTCAGGGAGGTCCGCCACCCCTCCCCCTCTCGCCTTTCCTCCCTGTCCGCCTGTCCTCCTAAATATGTACTTAGTGCTTTCACAGAGCTTACCATTTAGTGAGGGTAACAGACATTAAGAAATAATTGTGTAAATAATTGCATAGATATGGTTATGACAAATGCTAAAAAGAGAAAGAATGACGTAAGAGTGTGTTAAAGGCAGACCTACTATTAAAAAAAATTTTTTTTGAAGTGTAGTTACTTTGCAGTGTTGTGTTAGTTTCAGGTGTGCAGCACAGTGATTCAGTTACACACACACACACACACACACACACACACACACACGTGTATACATATATATATTCTTTTTCAGCTTCTTTTCCATTGTAGGTTATTACAAAATAATTGAGTAGAGTTCCCTGTGCTACACAGCAGGTCCCTGATAGGAAGACCTACCCTTGTCTGAGGAAGTCAGCAAAGAATTGGGATTATGGTTGCTTGCTTTAATTAAATTAGGATAGACAATCTTTTCATCTTTTAATTAATCTGCTACATTTGGTACTTCTCTTACTAACCAGAATATAATAGAGATGAGTGTGTGTTCCATTATTTTTCTGATGAGCATTGCAACTAATTGAATCATGTATTTATAGCCACATTACTGGCAGTTGTAGGAATTCTATCCCTGAAACCTGGCCGCTGAGCCTTAGGTGCAGTGGTCTGAACCTTGCACACGGTCTGTTCTTGCCATTTAATCCTGTTTAAGGCACTGTGCATATTCTGTCTTTCTATTTTGAAGTAACTCAACATGGATGGTAATACATTCATCGGCATTTTAAAAGTGCACAAGAGGTAAAAGTGGTTTAGTGGTTAATGTTTTTTAACTTATTTGACAAACTTTAGTGCCTTCTCACGTTACAGGAATTTCTACAAAAATAGTTTCCTCGGTTCTAAGTGGAAACCCCAAGCTTGTAAATTTTTAGAATCGTTTCATTTTCTACCTATTTGACTTTCTTCCTCCTTGGCTCCAGAGGTTTTCTTATAACTCTTTCTCTCCTCTGACATCAGGCTCAGTCTCAGGGCGCAATCACATTCAAGATCATACCCAGCATCAAGGAGGACACACCATCAAAGGAGGGCAAGGTAACCATTCCTCAGAAACCCTTTTTTTTTTTTTGTGAGAACCAATGTTTTTCCATTTACTAAATATCCCCCTTGTCACAACAAGTTTATCTTAATATTCTGTTTCTTAAATAAATCAAGAGTTAGAAGAATGTTGGCCACTTCACATTTATTCTTTTATATTTATGCATCTGAAACGGAACTTTCTTCCAGATGTTTATCAAAGCCCTCTTTGACTATGACCCTAATGAGGATAAAGCAATTCCATGTAAGGAAGCTGGGCTCTCTTTCAAAAAGGGAGATATTCTTCAGATTATGAGCCAGGATGATGCAACATGGTGGCAGGCAAAGCACGAAGGAGATGCCAACCCCAGAGCAGGCTTGATTCCCTCAAAGCATTTCCAGGAAAGGTGAGTTCCTGGCACAGAATCGTGGCCTGTCTTCAGCTGACCTTTTGTTCCCTGCAAAATACCACTCCAGCATAGTTGTGATAAAATAAGCACTAAAACCTTTGCCTTAGAATTCCTTATCCCTCAGGTCTGGGTTTCTGTTTTGTCTAACGAAGCATGAATAATGACCAAAAATAATATGACACTCTCAGGTCATGTTCCGTTTTTGTTACGAAACAAATGGAAAATAGCACGTTAATATCTGAAACTGTATTGATGTGAAAGATGGAAAAACAAAGAAGAGTGATTTCAGAGTGGGGAGAATTTATAAAAATTTGGATGTAGAGGATTTATTTCTTAATTTGAGTAGATTGCATTGCGTTCATTTTTTCCTCCAACGTTCCATTTCTTTCTTACGGCTTTTAATATTTTGGTGTTAACGTTAATCTTGGATCTGAACTGAAAACTGATCGGCGTATTGACCTTCTTTTCCTCCAGGAGATTGGCTCTGAGACGACCAGAAATATTAGTCCAGCCCCTGAAAGTTTCCAACAGGAAATCATGTAAGTTTGTTAATCAGAATGCAGAGTAACTAAGTCTCGCTGTTTACTTTTGACTATTACAGCAGGTGTTTGTGGTAGAATAAGAGGTCCTATTCCCTGTGATAGTGTTCGGATCATCATTTCACAAGAACCAACAAGGAACAAATTCATAGTGGGAATAGTAAAGTGAGTCTTTTGAAGAAAGGGGTGTTTGGGGTTGTTTGTAATAAACCTATGACTCACTCTTTAAGAAAAAAGCTAATAACTACAACTCTCTTTGATTCTGAATTTAGGTCATTTATAATGTAACCTAAAATGCAACTCTTATTTCTCTAAAGCTAGGAGGTTTGGATAAGATATTTCTTGGTAAAGATCGGAGGGAAAAAATCCATCACTTTCTAGGGCACAAAAGCAATTGTGCCTAAAGCAGTCATTCTTGTTCTACTTGCTTCCTTGCTTATTTTGACATCACAGTAACTCTGACCTTCAACCGGTCCGTTCAGAGTTATTACCAAACTAGATTAAAAGAAAACAAGAATAAGGAAAACGATGATGTAGGATCACTGGAGAAGAATGCTTTTTCTTTTAACCCAGCTTCTCTCAGACTCTCTTTACTTCTCACCTCCCACCTCTTGTGAGTCCCCATCCTACTTTATCTTCTCTGCTTCATGGTTCTAGGTATTTTAAGAGTTAAAAAAAAAAAACCCTTTTGTTTTCAGCATAGAAATTGTACCTTAAAAGGTGAAATGAGCAAATAAATGGTCCTGGAATTTCACACCAACATCTGTTTTTAGTATCGTTGCATTTTTTCCCATCTCCTGTTATTTCTGTCAGTTTGGAGAAGCCTAGAGCCCAGGAATCACGTTATAAGGGAGCCAAACTGCAGTCGAGTATAAATCTCACAGGCAAGCTTCAAGTAGAGCACTGATTCGAAAGCCTGCTTGTTCTTGCTCTGTTAAGTCTGGGCAGAAGGAAAAAACACTTGTCACAGAATTGCCACATGTCCCATGACATCGAAAGTTTCAGGTTTAACCAGAATGTTGCATTGTTCTTAAGTGTGATGAATTTTCACTGGTAACTCATCCAGTGGAAAGGAGCTCTGAGGCCTCTACCTGACTTGCTCTGTGAGGGTTTTTTAAATTTGAGGGCCTGCACATCTCTTATACATTTGGTGCATGTGGGATAAAATGTGTCTAACTTGAAAATGAAATAAATGTGATTCTCCTCGAATCTGAATCCATACTCTGATTTGCTTGAGTTTTAGGCAACTTAGAAATGGGTAATTGGTTATAATTATGAATTTGCACTTACTTAGAATTTTTGATGTATTTTTTTTGTTTGTTTTAAAGAACTGTGCAAAGTAGGGAGATTGTCTTCTTAATAGCTCTCCCCAAACTGGTTTCAGGATAAATGTGTGTGAGAGAGAGAGAGAGAGAGAGAGAGAGAGAGAGAGAGAGAGAGTGTGTGTGTGTGTGTGTGGTGTGTGTGTGTGTGTGTATAGAGCTCTAATTGTAATGGAGGCTATTTTGTCTTTCAATTTATATAATTTCTTTTTTTAAATTTAATTTTATTTTTTTATATAGCAGGTTCTTACTAGTGATCTGTTTTATACACATCAGTGTCTACACGTCGATCCCAATCTCCCAGTTCATCCCACCGCCCCACCACCCAACCTCTCTTTCCCCCCCCTGGTGTCCATACGTTTGTTCTCTGCATCTGTGTCTCTAATTCTGCCTTGCAAACCGGTTCATCTGTACCATTTTCCTAGATTCCACATATATGCGTTAATATACGATATTTGTTTTTCTCTTTCTGACATACTTCACTCTGTATGACAGTCTCTGGGTCCATGCACGTCTCTACAAATGACCCAGTTTTGTTCCTTTTCATAGCTGAGTAATATTCCATTGTATATATGTGCTGCGTCTTTATCCGTTCGTCTGTCAGTAGGCATTTAGGTTGCTTCCAGACCTGGCTATTGTAAATAGTGCTGCAGTGAACATTGGGGTGCATGTGTCTTTTTGAATTACGGTTTTCTCAGGGTATATGCCCAGTAGTGGGATTGCTGAGTCATATGGTAGTTCTATCTTTAGTTTTTTAAGGAACCTCCATACTGTTCTCCATAGTGGCTGTATCAATATACATTCCCTCCAAGAGTACAAGAGGGTTCCCTTATCTCCGCACCCTCTCCAGCATTTGTTGTTTGTAGATTTTCTGATGATGTCCGTTCTAACCAGTGTGAAGTGACACCTCATTGTAGTTTTGATTTGCATTTCCCTAATATGAATTTACATAATTTCTTTTATATGTTAATACTCTAGTGTTTGAGCTTCAGGACTTGTCTTTATGGAACGTGGTCGTCCTTTCACCCTTTCTTCCTTTTCTTCTCTCTCTCTCTTTTATTTTTAACCTAGATTTTGATTCACTGAGAGATGCATTGTTTGTTCTCATAGGTAGATGTTCTTTACTTTTAAATTAAAAAAAAATCTGATTGATATTATCCAAAGTAAATACAGCGTGTAGTAAATACAGCCTCGTTCAGAGAGACCGTATACTTCTGTGAAAATTAAATAGAAGGCCACTGTCTTTATTCTCAAAAAATTGAAATTCCATTTGAAATTTCTTTGAATGTTGTCTCATAAACTCCCGAACTCAAAAGGTATACAAAAATCATTGCACTGGATCTGAACATTTATTATTATTATTTTTTAATTTATTCATTTGGCCTCACTGCACGGCACGTGGGGGGATCTTAGTTCCCTGACCAGGGATCAAACCCATGCCCGTTGCATTGGAAGAGCAGAGTCTTAATGACCGGACTGCCAAGGAAGTCCCTGGATCTGAACATTTTTATAAGTATTTAAAAGCACTTTGTTTTGAAACCTGTGTATTTGAAAGTGATTTTTTTTTTTTTTAATGTAACTAAATCTTATAAAGACCATTTGACTCAACACTTCCTGGACTTCAACCTTTGGTACTTAGATTTTTGGAATAGGACAATTTGTTATCATGCCCTTTGCTAAATTACAGAATAATACTATGAAGAAAAGCAGAAAGTTGATATAAAATCCTTTATTTTTATATTTTATTTTATTGAAAAATATCTGTATATATTTTATAATCGATCTATTTAATTACATTGAATAGTCATGGAATAGGTTTTAAGAAAATTTCTGATTTAATATAAAATTTCTAAAAGAAGAATAATTCTCTCATGTTGGTGTTTATAAATTTATGAAAAATACTTATGTTGATAAAAATTTTCTGCACTAAATTTCACAAGTGCTCTTAAAACCTAGGAAGATATTGGTTAAGCAATGAGTTTAGAATAATGACTTAAAGGTCATTAGCCAGTTAACTTTTTTGACAGATTGATTGCTTTTGTATTAGTAGGATTTTACTCTTTATTTGATTCACAGTGTATCATCATAACTGAAGTCTTCATGGAGGAAAAGTTCATGGAAGATGGCTCTGGTGCTGTAGGGCGTCAGCTAGTGTGCACACAGAGATCAGAAAGGACTGGAGCACCCTCGTACTGTTATCTCTGCCTTTATATTTGTGCTAGAACTCTGGGTCCGGGCTCCATGGTTAAAAAATCAGAAGCCATGGTAGTACCAACCTCCTCAGACTTTTGAACTGGCACCCTTATGCAAAACTCTGAGTGTGGGTGGTATTCATCCTTGATGCTTGGTTATTTCCTCTCCTTAGGAATCTTGGCGTATCTGATGCATATACAGAAAACAGGCTCCTCAAACGAAGTAATTTGCCTCTTACACATTCCTAAAAACTAAAACATGAACTCTTAAAACTAAAACATTCTGGGCTTCCCTGGTGGCGCAGTGGTTGAGAGTCCGCCTGCCGACGCAGGGGACGCGGGTTCGTGCCCCGGTCCGGGAAGATCCCACGTGCCGCGGAGCGGCTGGGCCCGTGAGCCACGGCCGCTGAGCCTGCGCGTCCGGAGCCTGTTCCTAGATCTTAGAAGCTTGATGTGGGAACTCATCTCCTCCGCTCTCTCCCTGCTCCACCTCCCATTTTCTGGAGGAATAGCTTATCCAACAGAGAGATTTATGACAGAATTTTATCTTCCCGCCCTCCCCCTTCATCCGGTGCTAGGTTCTCACATAACGGGTTGATGTTAGTAATACAGACAGAGGAACAGACCCGGCAGGCTGACAGGTGTTCCTTGCTGTGACCAACGTTTAGATTGTTATCAGAAGGACATGGGGTGCGTGTTTGGGGCCCAAGTAAGCGCCTGTCTCATGTCTCAAGTAGCGCGTAGGGGCAGTTCTCCTAACAGACACCTAGTAGCTTGCAGTTCTTGTGTCAATAGAATTTACCCTACGACTTTCCTGCCAAAGCTTATTTTTACAGTTCAGTTGCATATATAAAGCCATATGATAGCACCTAACCTTTAAAAAGAAATATGAATTTCTTTGATTACTTGAAATATTGTTTGTTCCCTTTCTATTGAAACATAAGTATGTAAGTTAGGAATTAGCTTCTTAGTAGCATAAACATTAACTTCAGTTTGATGTAACTTATATTTAAATCGAGTTCTTATTCATGTACTATATTTTACTGCAGAATGTTCAAGAATGATACTTACTTACAGTGCTTGGTTTCCTTTTTTTGGCTATCAAAGTATAAATAGCTGAACATTTCTAATAATGCTGATTGAATAATATTAATGAAGACATTTTCTTTTACAAAATAGCTCTAATAGAATTCTAGTAATAAATAAACCAGAGATCAAAAATGTACAGTTTATTGACTTTTTAAAAATTAGAAGGTAAGGACACAAAATAGTTTAGAATTTGTTTTAACCGATTTTGATGGTTATCATGTGGGTAAAAAAGAAAATATTTGACTGCAGGCAGGAGGTGTTCATTCAAGCAGGCTGTCACCAGATTCACTCAAAGACGAGTATTTTGTGGACTGAAGATCTCAAGCTACCAACAACAGAATTTAAACGTTGAGGGGAAGAGTGAATTCACTCCTCACGGCCCCGGTGTGTGGAAGAC